GGCAATAATTTATTGAATAATATTTGATTTATAAATCAAGAGGTTGATTAAATATATTTATTTAAATAACGAGTTTAATATTATTATTTTCTTAAAGAAGGACGCTTACTTTAAAATATCATTATACGAAATGTAAATGACACAATAGATCTTCTGAAAAAAGATATCAAAATATAATAAACATAACTATTGAATTCAGTTCAAATTAGAAGGAGGAAATACACTATTCTAAAAAAATTAAAGAATTTGATTACAATCATTATTGAAATTGAATAAAGCTAAGATATAAAATGAGTAATTACAAAAAGCAATTGTAAATAGGATTTGATGTTAAAGACAACAAGTATATTAGAATTTAGATTAATTCAAGATTAATGCTACAACAAATAATTTAATTGGAATATCTTATTCATCTAAATTTTGTTTCTTTTTCCAAAACTTTTTGGACTTAAACAATAATTAAAATTACTAACCATATATATTAATTTGATGAAATTATATTTAATTAAAAGATATTATTCTGGAATGATAATAGAATATTATATAATAATAAACTGTTTAATATTCTTATAATTTATTAATATTGTATGCAACTTCAATTTAACTTTCTTGCTCTCATATTACTAAAATAATGTATAAATATGTAATGTTCTATTTCTATTAATAAGGTTGGTTTAAATAATTAAAAAAATTATTAATAAATCTTTTTAACTTTTTATAATAGAAATATCTATTGTTGAATATCGTATATGAATTTAGATAGGCTACAATACAACCCCATCCTAAATAAGATTTCATATCTTCTTTCAATATTCTTAGTTATTCATTTATAACATAAATTACAATAATTATTAGTTCATAGCTAAATTGTTTTATGAATTCCTTATAATCAGTAAGAAATAAGCTTTTAAAGTAGTAAATATAATTTAATTTATAATCTAAATAAATGGTGTTTCATAACAAAATAATAATGTTAACATAAAAAATAGTTTCAGTAGGATGGAATTAAAATATTTGCATAAATTATTTTTCTTATTCCCCTAAAACAATATTCCTTATTTGAAGTTATTTTTGGTAATTTGCAAAAGCATATTTATCTTTACTACTCAGCTTATGAAAAAGAATAATAAATAGAAGAAAAATGTTTACAATGTAAGTATTAAGCTCAAACTTATTAAAATATTGTGCAACATTATGTCTAATGAATACAATTAAAAAACTATAACAACAGTAAATCATAAATAGTTTTAATCAAAATTCTTTAGATTCCACTACAAAATAGTACACTCCAAACTCTTAGACAAAAAAATGTTATTGATATTTTCATAGCTAAAATTAGGAATTTAATTTTAAGGATAAAGTTTGGTTTTTTACTTGGAATATAAGCATAGTATGAATATTGTTTATTAAATTTCATTTGTGTTTGAAATCAATTTGATGTAAATAATTTGTAATCTTTTTTGAAGCAATGTATATCAGAATTAAACTAACCAAATAAAAATTACAGATGCACTGTTTATTATAAATTGAGATGTTAAATCATCTTATTAAAATTTGAGTGGATTATTATTTAAGTTTTCATAAATCATAGATAAGTTAAAGAGGTCATAAGAATTGAAATATTTAAAAACAAAATTCATTAGTACAAATTCAAAGCAATCGAAAACTGTTTTAAATTAAAAGGAAATCTAGATAAAATATACTTTAGTAATGACAATATAAATAAAAATAAATGTATAATAGGCACTAAGATCTCAAAGATTATAATAATAGTTATCCCTCCAAATAGAAGAGCTGTTTCGCTTATTGATCCAATATGTTAGATCTAAGAATTTATCTATAAACTCTTTATAATAACACATAATTTTGCATTCTACACATTGATTATCGATGATGAACTATCCAATTTAACATTAATCACAAAAATTAAAATCTAAAAATTGTTTACATTACCCAATGCATTTTAAACATCATTATATATCATTATTTAAGTAATTTATTCTTAACATTCAGTATTATTGAAAATCATAATAAGAGGATTCAACTTGCATTTAATACATGGATAACTACATTATTAAACTTAAATGATTAATCCATGAAATATCCGTCTTAACAATTATATTATGGCAAAATTGTCTGAGTTATACATTACAATATAGAAATTATCCTCTGAAGAACAATTTTTACAAGAAAATTTACATGGCTTACATGATTCATCTTCAAAAAACCATAATCAACAACACAAATGTAATTATTTATATGTCTATATAATCCAGTTTATACAGGATTGACAATTTTTTTAATGAGTCTGAGCATGTATAAAAAGTATTTAAGTATACAAAACAACGTTTTGGATTTTTATCATCTTAAATTCATTTATTAAACATGAGCATTTATTTGAATTAATTTTATGATCATGTTGATTAACAGAATAAACAAGTAGAAACATTTGGTTTATAAGTTAAACATGGAAATTAGCATTAGTCACATATAAATGTGTTGATTAATGTAAATTTTTGTTGATAAATTCATTTTTTTAATTAAATATATGAACTGAGTATATCAATACAAAGGATATCATAACAGAATGTCAACTTTAATATAAATCAACTGTCCAATCATTCAAATAACTAATTTCTGCTTAATAATACAAATTCTGTATAAAAGAAGATAAAATTAATGTATTTAGACCTAATTAAGCATTAGAAGCACTTGATTCTTTGGTTTTATTTGATGAAATGAAGATTTACATTTAATCCAATTAAATAGGACCTTTGTAGAAAATTTAGAAAATTTTAGATGATCTATATATGCAATTAGAATTACATTTCATAAAATATTAGAGTTCTGATTAATAAATAGTAACAAATTAGATTGAATATCAAAAAGATTCTTTTTCATATTTATCTCTTTAGCCATCTCTTTAAACTTTATGTATTAAAAAGGTTATTAATTAATACGATTTTAAGCAAATTAATTATAAAATTGAGTAAATGGAATATTTAATAAATAAACTTAATAAATCAAAGTAGCATAATAAATATATATAGATATAATGTTTATATTGGTAATTTAGGTGATATCTTAAGAGACTAAAAGTCTTATTAGAAAGCTAAAGACTATTATAATAAATGCATATCAATTAATAACAATAATTCAGCAAGTTAATTAAGTCTAGGTATTATTTGAGTATATTACATTAGGTGAATGCTTAAAAGAGACTTACTAATTTAATGAGGCTTAAAGATATTTCAAAAAAGCTATTTATATATGTTAATCTAATCAACTCTATATATTATCTTATGATAAATTTTAAATTTTAAGTAATTAGGAGATTGTCTAAGAGAATTAAAGAGATAAGAAGAGGCTATAAAAACTTATGATATAATTTTACATTAATTATCTAAAAATGCTGATACATCTTTTGAAAAATGTAAAGTTTTTAATAATATATTAAGGAATATGTTTATTGTATTTAAGCAAGCCTAAAGAAGCAGAGAATTTATTAAAAAACTCATTTATTCTGAAATTTGATTGTAATTTAGGATATTATAGATATGGTAAATGATTGAATTAATTTGTAGGATTATAATTAGAAATTTTAAAGATGTTTATAATTATTGCAATAAGCGCAATATTAATATGCAATTAAACATTTTGTTAAAGCTTTGGATATCAATCCATAAGATATTTATTCATTACATGGAAAGGGTAAATTTAATTCAATTAATCTAATGTAAATGCCTATTTATTAAACAAAATTAGATTTATTTAATATATTAGATGGATGATTATTTATAGGTACTTGAATGGTATCAAAAAGCACTTGATATCAATCCATAATATGTTAATTCATTATATGAGAAGGGTATACCTTTATTTAATATGTAGCCAACTAATTATTAAAATTGAGATATTATTTCATTATAATGTAATTTGGTTTATTTGAAAATGCCTATTTACTTTTTAGAAAATGATAGGATTTTAAAAACTTGAATTATATTCTAAAATTAAATATTAGTTAATAAATGTCATTAATGTAGTATTATAATTAAAATATAAATTATTAACAAAAGGATATCTATAAATTGCATGAGTTTTATGATAATATATCTTCTTAATTTCTTCTTTCGGTCTCACCTAATTGTTGAACATCATTAAATATTCTTTTTATGATATATTATCATTAATTATCCCTATTAAATTTCAAAATATAACTATCAGTTTTTAACTTTTTGAAGTTTGATTTTATCGCCACAATATTCATAACTTCAATATATATTAAGAGCATCTTGATTGATAATTTAATATAGA